CGGAGGGGGAGCAAAGCCCGGTCTAGCCGCTGAGGGGGATCCGATGGGAGGAGCTGGTGGTGGGTGACTCGGGCTAACCAGGCTGGATCGTTTGGTCCCTCCAGAACCAGAACCTCTTTGGTTGTCTACAGGATAGCTGTTGCAACAGAAGGAGAGAGAGAAATAAAGCTATGACATGTGAGGCCAGATTAGACTGTGCAGTCTCCATGCTAACGCAAATCACGTGTGTTTGTTGCAGTCCAGATGAAAATCTAACTGGTGTTTCCATGAGAACTCACTCTTTGGTTTGAGTTCCCTCGCAGTGTTTCTGTTGGCCTACCCCACCAGAACAAAGGAAAGCTTCTTAGGACCAGCAGAAATGCTATCACCCCTCCCATCTCCCAGGCTGACAAGAACGTGAGCCATCTCACCTCCCTGCCAGAGACCAGGCATCAAGTCTGGGCAGCCTCCTGGCTTCAGATCTCCTGCAGCAACGCAAACCACCACCCCTCCATGCTGAGGTCAGACTTACAACACGCCAAAAGCAGGGATGTCTACTATGATAAATCACACAAGGACTGGTGGGTGTGCCAGGAAAGCATATGCTCTGAACACCTGCTAGGAACAGATCTCTTCACTGGATTCCATGGCTCAGAGCTGGAGTGCAGCAGCCATGTCTCATAGCTCACCATGGGGAGCGAAGAGAAAGACATGGCAACCCAATGTGCTCTTACAGAAAACACTGATTCACGAGGGACTGAATCTCCCATTTATGGAAGCTGTGTTACACCAAAACCCAAAATACTGTAGTATCCTAGGTACGTGGAAAGGAAGCCCTAAACTGACATCTCCTTCCATGGTAGAACAGAAAAATAAGGTATATTTGCCACAAAAATGACATAGTTTTTAAAACAGTGCAGAGTGCTGATCCAAGACAGACTACTGGAGATCAAACCTAGCTCCCAGGGTTCTTTAAAAGCAACCACCAAAACAAAACCAGAGAGGGGAGATCTCCGTGGCTAGGCAGAGATCTAAGTAACTGCATAAGGCAGAGTAAGCTTCATCTGAAAGCTCGTTTCTGCTCTGCCCTAGAGGAACACGCTGCAGAGTGGAGTGCTTGGTCTCTCTGACACATCAGAAGAGCCTTTTCCGCAGCGTTGCTGCCTTTGGATAAGATGGAGACAAGCTAAACGCAGTCCCATCTATCAGACATACTTTCCCCTGTTACTCTTGACTCTGTTTTATTGCCTTAAAAAGCTACTCCTGTGTTTCAACCTTTGTATCTTGAGCCACTGCTGGACCATAATTCTCATCTCTGGAGGTGACCAGAAGTCACCATTTCATCCAACACAAAGCAGATGCTTTGAACTTGCACCGAAGTCTCTGAGAAGAAGTCAGCTGGTGTGCTCAAGTCCCTTAAATTTAACTACATCTACATCTTCAGCGCACGCGTCGTGCGTTTCTCAGAGATCACAGGACAAATGGTCACAAAAAACAGAGGCAAAAGAAGTTGCTCTTTGCAAAGCTCCATCGGGAACATAAGTCTACACACTCTGGAAAAACTGCACTGGAAAACCCAGGCAACAGAGCTAAATCCTTAATTAGGACCCCACTCTTTACAAAGTGTAATTAGTCTGCTCTAGCTCTCACAGAATCACAGAATGTCAGGGATTGGAAGGGACCTCCAAAGATCATCCAGTCCAATCCCCCTGCCGGAGCAGGAACCTAAATGAGATCACACAGGAAGGCGTCCAGGTGGGTCTTGAATGTCTCCAGAGAAGGAGACTCCACACCCTCCCTGGGCAGCCTGTCCCAGGGCTCTGGCACCCTCACTGGAAAGAAGTTTCTTCTCAAGTTGAAGCAGAACCTCCTGTGTTCCCGCTCACACCCATTGCCCCTTGTCCTGCCACTGGGGAAGAGCCTGGCTCCATCCTCATGACCCATTCTCTCCTTCTGTATGGGACCAGCGATGGCAGTTGGGATTTCTGGAGAGCTGTGCTGCCTGTGACTCCGTCCCTGCCTGCAGTTGCACATCCCCTCCAGACAGGAGCATTCTGGTTCCCATACAACACCCGTTAGGAAGTTATGCTGAACTATCTCAGTCCGTCTCATGTCATCCTTTTACACCACCTACTACTCCTTGGTGACAGAAGGGATCCCGTAGGCTTACCTAAATTCCACCGGGGGTGGAGGCAGGCTGTCATCTGGGAATGAAGGAGGTGGTGGCACAATGGAGTCAGTCTGCGGCGGTGGCGGGTAGCAGTTCACGTCCATGCTTTCGTTTGAGCCGATGCTGCCGTTCTGATACACCATGTTAGAGGGGTACCTGAGTGAAAGCAAGACAAGCCACTCAGTTAAAGAGCTCAAGGCAATGGCTAAAGCTCATTCCCCCCACAACTCACAAGAGCTTTGCCTCCTGGAAGGGTTACAACAAACAACTGTGCAGCAGTTCAACCACCAGTGATATTAACTAAGGGGATGGATCAACCTGCAAGATTTAG